AGCGTGCTGATCGCCTATTGAGTCAAACAAGCCGGCGCGTATGATTGTGCTCGACAAGGGTTGAGGGTGGATGCTATCCTGCTTCAAACCACGGTTAATGCTAAGCGCCCGCTCTTGGGCCGTAGCATACGGGATTTCACACATCTAGGTTCCACACCAAACAGCAGTAAGGTATGTATACACTTCCTTTTTCATCATGCTTTTCCCCCTTGCCCAAAACTGGTTTTCGGCTATCTGCACAACATTAGCGACGGCGTTTGTCCGGATTTCACTCCTTTTCTTGTTCTGTCTTACTGCACATGGATAGTATCTTGCAAATTTGCATACCAGGGAATACGGCGTTGAAGTTTTGTGTTTTTATTTCGTTATTTGCATGTAGTAGGCGTCTTTCTGCTTGATTGAATATGGGAATTTTTGGTTGGTGGGTTAGTTGGTGGGAATGGCAAAGCTGGATAGATGGGGCACTGGTGGAATCGACGTGATTGAATGGGCTATGCATGGGATATGCATTTTAATGTTTTGTATGAAATGGCAGTAGTCATGGATGTGTGGGTGAAACATCGGGCCACACGTATAGATTAAAAGAGGAATTGCTGGCATTTCTTCTTGATTAAAAGTCACAAATGGGTGAGGGGGGGATATGGGTTAGGAAGGAAAATAAGAACAGAGCAGACAATGCAATGTGCGTGTTCTGTTCATCTACTGGTGTTTACAAGTATCGCTCTTGTCTTGATTCCTTGCTAAAAAGGGAGAATAAGTGTCCAAAAAGCGACCTTTCGACATAACAACAGCTCCTTTGTTTGAAGCTAGAAAACCCAGCCTCTCTCTGCAATGGTTTCATTTACATTTGTTTTATACGGACCGTTGACTTGACTTGTTTCTATTTGTTTGGCGTATAGCATATCAGATTATTTTTCTCGGAAAAGAAAAAAAACAATTCAAGTCGCCCCCCCCCGATCTGGCAGCATCAGGTATTAAAAAAATGACTTGATAGAGAAAGTCCTGGTTCTAGTAGATGAAAAGTAGACTCCAGCCGCACACCCACAGTCTCTTAGTAACGCGACTTTGCAGGGAAAGCCCCGTGTTCAGATGGGGGATGTATCCGCGGTTCTAAGCCGGAGTCTATTCTCAAGAATATATGTTTTGGTTCTATATAGTTCTGAATCTATGATAAATCGGTTGGTAGTAACTATATCATATTATATTGATTTAACGTACTTTATGGAACCATCGGTATGGTATATCGAAGTGTGGAGCCCAGGCTGTACAGGGTGGATCACAGCCTGGACTGTCTAGTAGTATAATGGGTTGTGTATTATAGCTATGTGGTAGCGGCTCCGCCAGTTAAGTAGCTGTTACACAATGGCTATGGGCGATTCACTTTTGGTGTCCACTACATTGATTTGTTTGGCGATGTTCAGTGACCGAGGCGGTAGTTGCGTTGGTTTTTGTCACAGTGCCCGTTGGCTTCAGCCAGGTTCTTGAAACTGATCATGCATGGCAACAATGGCCATTGTCCATCGAGCCTTGTTAACATCTTGAAAGTGCACTGGTTCCTAGTGCAGACATCGAGTAAGATTAGAGTCGCACAAAGATATCGGGTATCTTGCATGTAAATTCCTCGCTAAGACATCCACTTCTGCCTTGCCCAACAGAAAACGAGGGTTCGTGTACAGTACTCTATCACCAGACAGGTGGCTGTGCAGAATCGATCAACCCCATGTAAGACAAGGGTTTAAATATCTACACCCTGCATAATTTTGAGATTGGTGCTGGCGGAAGGAGAAGTGGCCTTTTGCACGCCGTGTAACCTCGTGGCGCAGGATATTTTCGGTCCAGCCACGCGTTCCACAGCATGACAGAAGCCGTACTTGATGACCAATAGAGCATTAAAGCCGCGGGAAGGTTCTGACAGAGTGGACCAATCAAAAGCGAAACAAAGAGCAAGGTTCGCCGAAGGACATTTGGCCATTTGGCACCACTTTCAACGGTGTTCTTCGAGGTGTAAATGTTTGCAAACATGATTCCCGATGCGATGAACGGAAGGGCACCAGTTGGGTCCGGGAGAAGCAGGTCCGGGAACCAGAGCATACCCTCTGTGGCCAGAGTTGGCTCGAACCAGTCGGTGGGAGTCACTCGTGCAACAACTTGGCCCGTTTCCGTCGTCATCCGCGTACTCTCGCCTCTAAAAATGGACATGGTCATACCCAACAATCCGTCCTGGGCGCCACATTTCTGGCGTATAGTCTCGGCCATGGCGAAAAAGATGGGTATCTGCGCCAATGTCCAACTGATCTGACCCGAGAGGGTGACATTCCACCTTTTGTCCAATGCTGATGTGACGTCCTTGACTTCCTTCTTGACTGTGACTAGAGCTTGCTGAGGCGACCGGAAATTACCCCGCTTCAGGATCTCGTCTCGCGTTTGGAAAGCAAGAGCTTGTCGCAACGGGTGAAGACCAATGTATCGTGCCATGAGAGCGCGCGCACGTGTTCCAGCGGTAGTGACAAGCAGACCGCGAGCGAGAAAGGCGCTGAGGGGGATGGCAGCATGCCAGGGGACAGCAGTGTGGATCAGCGATATCATCTCGTGCGGAAGGTAGAGGATAGCATCAATGATGGGATCCTGCCGTGGTGTCGAGGCATGAAATGAGCGTGCCAAGGGACGACATGGCGAAGCTCTGGATACCAACACGTTCCTCCAAAGCAATTGGTATGCTGGATGCCGTAGTGAGCAAGAGGATAGCATGGTGGTGTGGTGTTTTCAGGTCGCGACATCACAGGAACATGTCGGACTCCCGAGACGAAGATGGCCCGCCCCACTAACCACTAGCGCCAGGGTCCCATGCTCCCCGGGCCGGCGCCAGAAACCGTCATCCCACCGCATGAACAGCTGCCGGAACACTCACCTTCCATGGATTGACAGTCCACTGCTCTGACCAAGATGAGTGTGCTGCTCGTCCTCCTGTCGCTGCTTGTGCCTGCACTTGTGGCAGCTCTTTTTCTCTCCAAGACGCTACGCTTTGTTGCAGGACTAGTGGGACAGCATCTCCGTCGATCCTCCCGTACACGACGCGAGCTTTTACTGGCTAGGGTAGCAAGCGAAACCAAAGCCTATGAGGCCGACCTGAAAGACAAGAAGAAGGAGGATGACGACTGGGAACAGGTGGGGACCACACCTCCAACAAGTGCAGTCAAGGTTGGCCAAACGAACGGCGACTGGGACGGCATCGTGGGCTTCTTTCACCCCTTCTGGTATGCATGACGAGCCTCAGAACACAGGAGCATAGTCGCTGATAGTTTGTTTTGGTAGCAATGCGGGTGGTGGCGGCGAACGAGTCCTTTGGGCTGCCATCCGAGCACACCAAAAGCGCTGGCCAAAGTCTACTTGCATCGTGTATACCGGTGACCACGATGTTGACAAGGCAGAGATACTCAAGCGAGTCAAGGATCGCTTCAACATCCAACTGTACCCGCCAACCGTCCACTTCCTCTACCTGACAACTCGCGACTGGGTACTCGCAAGCAGATGGCCACGCTTCACCCTACTAGGACAGTCTCTCGGGTCGTTGATACTTGCCTACGATGCCTTCTCGCTCCTCGTTCCAGACATCTTCATAGATACGATGGGATACGCATTTGCTCTTGGTCTCTCTTCACTCCTCTTTCCCACTGTTCCGACCGGCGCATACGTACATTACCCAACCATCTCGACCGACATGCTCGACTCGCTACAAGTGGGGGGACAGGGCGTTCATGCAGGGACTGGGTCAGGATACCGTGGGCAGGCAAAGAAGAAATATTGGGAGCTATTCGCAAAGCTCTATAGCAAAGTCGGTAGCACCATCGATGTAGTGATGACCAACTCCACATGGACACAAGGTCACGTCAAATCGCTCTGGGGGCCATACCGCAGCAAGCGAAGCAAGCTAACCGATATCGATGTCGTCTTCCCACCTGTCGCAGTTGAAGAAGTCGCAGAGGCCATCCAAGTCTCCGAGGCTAGTGAGAAGAATCGTGGTCCATACCTCCTCTACATTGCGCAATTCCGACCTGAGAAGAACCACCAACTCATCCTCGAGGCTTTTGCCTCATTTGTGCACTCCAAACCCAAACTTCCAGCATACCGCAACGAGACCCCGAAGCTAGTGCTGATAGGCTCGGTGCGCAACTCGCACGATGATGCAAAACGAGTTTACCAGCTGCGACTTCTTGCGCACGAGTTGCACATCAAGGACAACGTGGAGTTCATATGCGATGCGCCATGGCCCCTCATGTTGGAGTGGATGCGCAAGTCTAGCGTCGGAGTCAATGCCATGTGGAACGAACATTTTGGCATTGGCGTGGTCGAATATCAGGCCGCGGGTATGATTTCTGTTGTCAACAATACCGGTGGCCCGAAACTGGATATTGTAGTAGAAGTTGACGGAAAGCCTACAGGTAAGTTTTGATACATGGGATATTGAAGTTTTCCAAAGCAGGTTAAATTGTTGCTAACGCGAACGTACAGGTTTCCATGCTACCACTGCACAAGAGTATGCAGATGGCTTCCGCAAAGCCCTGACGCTGTCGCCACAGGAGATTTTGGATATGCGCCGCCGTGCGCGCAAGTCTGCTGAGCGCTTCACAGACAAGACCTTTGCCGACAAATGGATCAAGAACGCGGAGAAGTTGGTCGCTCTACAAATTGAGCGGATGTCCAAGTGAAGGGGTAAGCTGTTCTTACATCTTTCTACCTCTCGTCAGTCAGAAAAAAAAGGATGTGATCGTGGCGTTTGTACCGAACTAATACTTTTTTTTGCATTCTTTCCTTCCTTTTTGATACCACACGTTAGAGTTAGCATTTAGCAAGGGATGTACCATAGTTACATGTTTATTCCACAGGAAACAAGAATCCAGCATTCAATTGAAAGTTCAATCACCACCAGTGAAAGATAAATGTTCAAGACAAAGGATCAGAAGAAAAAAGGCAATCGCCCATCAGGACGTTGCAGAATAAAGCTTTTAGTATTCCCTATTCATCCATGGCTCTCCTAATCCAATGGGCAACTAGCTTTATCTAGATAATACATAAACAGGCTATAAGCAGTTTACCTTCATACTGCCCTTCTAATTGTTGGCTTTGCAGTAAAGTCCAATGGGTATACAATTCATGAAATGCCATGATTGTTCGTCCTGTCCCCGTCGCCTTCCCCTCCGTATCCTTGTTCATCAACAAGTGTTCGCATAAAAAAACAAAAGCATCAGGTAGTCCAAATACGCCGGGGTGCCCCAAAAATGCAGATTACCAAGATTGTGATATGTATAGTGAAAGAGGAGGAGATAGTTGATTATCATCGATGTCCAAAGAAGAGCAAGAAAGAAAGGAATGATGGTCATTTGCTGAGCCAGCCTAGCCAAACGACACATCATACAGTATATGATGGTAGGAAAAAAATCTCTTTTAGTCCTTTTTTCTTAGAGACGTTCAAGTTCCTGGAATCGCTGAACCGGATCAGCAAACGATCGTGTGAGACCAACTGAAGCCCAAAAGTCGTCGCTGATATCCTCGCGAGAAGCAAGGCGTTCGAGCAATGATCGTGCGTCACGGAGTTCCTGGTCCAACGGCGTAGAATCGGCCCGTGTGAGCGGGGGAGTCTCTGCCTCACTTGTGCTCGCAGGCTCGTCAGCCGGCCCATCGAGTTGTGAGGACATCTGAAGTCTTTGCGGCTCTTCTGTCTGGCTGTGTCTCCAGTTGCCTCGGCTGTAGTAGTTGTGGACGTAGTCGCTGGAGTCACGGGACCGGTCAATCACACGGAGCGAGTAGCGGTCTGCATCTCGGGCTGGAGGGTCGCTGGAGAAGTACGATGGACGCATTCGGCGACGGGGAGCCGTCGAGTTTGAGGGACTGGAGCCATCCCTCGAGCGCTCCCGCTGGGGGCGGCGCATGGGAGCAGGCACGTCTGTCTCTTCCTCTTCGGTATCCGAAGCCGTGTCGTTATCTGAAGTATCGCAAGCGCGCAGGAACTGGTCGTGCTGTGGAGGACTTGGTAGTCGCGAAGGAACTGTAAGGTGGGTTTGTGAGGATGCTGCCGAGTTTGAACTTCCCGATCGCGAGCTTGAGTGGGAGTTTGAGAACGAGGCTGAGGCTGCAGCTGACGCAAATGACGATGCAGCAGTTGGTGCAACCGGGTCATCAACCACCGTCGTAAGGAAGCTGTCCCAGTGCAGTTGGTCGTCAAGCGGACTGACGCTGCGATTGCGGTCGCCCAAGCCATCAAGAGCAGGAACTGGACTCCAAGACTCACGTAACGAGCTACTGGGTAATGGTCCATCGGCAATAGTGCGGCGACCCATCCTACGCAGCGGCGGAAAGGCTACAGCGTGGTTGTCACTGCTTTCGTGGTCTTCCTCGGGCGCGCTTGCAGTATCACTTCTTGCCGCAGATCGGTCAGCGCGGGGACTCCGTGAACGGGTCAATCTCAGAGGGGCAGTGCGACGATACGACGCCCTCTCACGCATGCGGGAAAATTCTCGCGCGCCGTGCATCGTGTCTGATTCTGAGCTCTGTGAACCTGCTGCGGGCGCAAAGCCGGGGGTAAAAACAGCGATGGAGCGATCAGTCTCCAAGGCTCTGCGCGCCGCATACGAACGCATAAACTCATCGAGACGATTGCGCGAACGATGCAGGGTGCTATTGGGGCCCAGGGGTGCAGGTGAGTTGGCCGCAGCCTCGTTGCCGCGGTAGTCGGTTCTCGAGAGTTCAGGCACTGGTGGTGGCGCGAGGCGCGTGCGATGCGACGAGCGTGGTATCCATTCGATGACGGGAGCAGAGCCAGAGGCGGCTATGAGGAACTCAGTATCAAGCGTGCTATTCGGTCGTGGCGATCTGTTCGGTCTGACGCGTCGGCGGATGGGTGAGCGATGGCCCGTCAAGTCGGCTCTCAGTACGTCCTTGTCATTTGCCTCGTCGCGCTTAATGTTCCATCCGATGGGAATGCCCATTGCGCATCAAAAAGTGGGTTGCAAGTGTTTGGGAAAGATGAGTGGAGTTGTGTTGTTGATGGTGACGCGCGTGGACGGGCGGGCTGAGGATGGTCGGAGGAGGGAACTAAGGCGGCGGAGCGGCGTAGGTCGCACCCACCAAAAACAGTGCAGCGACAGTAAGGCTGAAGCGTCTGGGGATGCGCAGAGAACCGCCGACGGGATGCAATTGAGCGAACAGGTGCCTAGGTAGCCCTCAGATACACAAAATACTAGACTAGTTATATGCGCCTCCTCGCCATGCTATTCTGATACTCCTTTCACCCTCTGCACAGCCCCTAGGCTGCGACTCCCTAACAACTGGTCGTCTCTTGTAGGCGCGATGGTGTTCGCCAAGCCATGACTGCCTCTTGCGGTATAGTCGCTTTTGCGCGCAGCCTCTGGTCCAGTTGCCACAGTGAGTCAACTACCACCTGCAGGAACCTCGTTTCAGACCATCCCTCGTAGAGACGGCCATGATCCAGCCCGGCCTGGGACGGATCAGCCAGCTCCTGAGGAATGTAGAATTCCCATGGAAGTCGATACACGTTGCTGGTACCAACGGCAAGGGATCCATCTGCCATCATGCCTCGCACCTGATCAAACGTAAGAAGATCAAGGTTGGCAAATTCACTTCTCCCCATCTTATAGACAGGTAGGCACACCGTCGCCTGGCCCTTCGTTGTCTAACCTCCGCAGGTGGGACTGCATCACCATCAACAATCAGCCCGTTAACGAGTTGCTCTTCCGAAAGGTCGAGAGCCATTACCGGGATCTCAGCCAGAGAGATGGCATTCCAGCCTCTCCTTTTGAGATTTTGACCGCTACTGCGTTCCACATCTTCAATGAAGAGAAAATTCTAATTGGTGTCATCGAGGTTGGCATGGGCGGCAGGGAGGACGCCACCAACATTCTGAATAACCAAGCAATTTCCGTCATATCAAAAATCGACCGTGACCACCAAAATTTTCTTGGTGATACTCTAGAAGAGATCGCGCTTCACAAGGCTGGCATCCTCAGACCCAACGTGCCTTACATCATCAACCCGAGGAACGAGAAAAACGTGCAAGACGTAATTGACGACTACGCAAAGACCATCCAAGCAGGCCCACGTCTCACCCATGAACCTTCAGATTTCCAGAAGAGCTTGTTCAACAAACACGACTGGAAAACCTTCACTAATCCTTTACTACCTGTCCAACGCGACAACGTAGTCTTGGCTGCTGTTGCTGCCAGGCAAGCTGTGGAAAGCATAGGGCTTGATTTTCGACCTTTTGATATCGGGCGCTTTTTATTAAAGTCACGGCTGTTGGTCAATCCTGGCCGCATGGAATTGATTAGAGTGCCAATCATTTTTGGAGACGACAGAAACTCGCAGGGCCCGCGGATATTAGTCGATGGAGCTCACAATCCAAATGCTGCCAAGTTGCTCAAAGATTATGTTCGTCTTGTTCACAGTAAGGGCAAGATACCTGGCGAGGGCTTTCCGGGTAAAAATGGATGGCCAGTTACTTGGGTGCTTGCTATGACTGAGGGCAAAGATGCACACGAGTACCTGAGGATACTACTGCAGCCAGGAGACACTGTCGTCACTACAACTTTCGCTCCAGTCGATGGCATGCCTTCAGTAAAGCCAATGGATCCAAATCAACTGCTTGAAATAGCAAAGTCTGTACAACCTAGGGTTACAGGAATGGCGATGCCGAAACAGGGTGCGCTGCGAGCATTGTGTGCAGCGAAGTTCATATCAAAAAGACACCGACCTGTAGTATTGGCGGGCAGTCTATACCTTGTTGGCGACTTCCATCGTGAATTCCGATCGCGGAATAGCAAATTTTACTGGACAGATCCAGAGTTCGAACCTGACCGCAGGATTTTCAAGGCCATACTGAAGGAAGAAGAACACAGGGTCAAAAACTGGTTTAGCGGCTATCCCGCAGACACTGTCAATAATGCCAGCACCAAGGATGAGAAGGGACATGCAGAGTGGAACAAACAGATTTCTCATCGGGAAAAGAAGAGAGCCATTCAAGAAGAAATAGAGGCCCTCGATCGAGATATGGAGCTCCTTGCGGAGGAGGAGCAGCGTATCGGGCATCGACAGTCTCCAGATGCCGAGAACCTTGGCGAACCAGCGGATTCAGAAAGCGTTACATCTGCTGATGAGCTTGAAACCTCGACAGAGGAACATGATGACAACGCAGATGAACCTGGTGAGTCAATCCAACCTTGCGAAGAATCACGCACTCATAGTCACATAGCCCAGGAAGATGAGACGAAACATGAAAAAGACCAAACACCAGAGCAAAGTAGAAGATTGAAAATTCGAAGGGTCATTTGGCCGGGCAGAACAGTAGATGGGTATCCCAAAGTCCAGGTACTTTCCGAGAAGAAGTGATGTGATTAATGAAGAGGCGGAGCAAGAAGATGTCTATTGTGCGTCACAAGATCATGGCTATCCGAAGAGGGGGCTCGGTTACCCAGCCAATTTGGATGAAGGAGGGAGAGACTTTCCTGGTATGTTTCAAAGACGAACGACCCTATCGGTGACCAATAAAATAAAAGGCTTTAGCATAGTATACTACATATGTGAATCTGAGTAAGCCGGAAACTTCAACCTCACGAGGTACCCCCCCACTTATCTAGGTTAAAATACCAAGCGGATCATCGGTAACAACCAACCTGAAGTATCTTGGACTTGCCTACCACAGCAACGAGTATCCAGTAGCACCAGCAGCCTAGAGCAGCGTGCACATGCCCCAAGACACTCATCCTACTGGCATTGTGAAAATGGGAGAGAGTACCTCCGAGCCAAGGCCGTGAGAAAACCCACAGACAGCGGTTCATCTTCAGAGTTTCGACGGCCACCATTGTCAAAACAAGCCACACTCCCGTCCGGGCGGCAAGACCTGCATACATATATGGGGTCTGAGATCACATCGCTTGCTGCAATGTGTGTAGAAGCAGCAGGTGTAGCGGCAGCACCTCGGACAATAATGCAAATAATGCCCCAGATTAATATGGCCCTGCTTTCTTGCCCATGAATCGGATCCACCCGACTACTTGCATTCAATCCTTTGAGGCACAAAAAGCAAGTCGGACGAAAATACCGAATGGTATTCATGTGATGGATCTACTAACCGCCATGCACCCATCACCCCAGGGGGTCTCTCCAAGATTGGCCGAGTGGAATTGCATCTACATCCCTTTGGCACACCGTCTCACACACTCCCGCCTCCAATCCCACGTCAGCTTTAACGATATTCTCCTGGAACTAAGATGCGCCCAAGGACATAAGTATGCGTTCCAAGTTTCTCAAGCCTCAGCCGCTTTCCCGATAGGATTGGGTCCAGGATCATGGCCACAAGGTTACTCGGGTCTTTGCTCAGTCGACATGACGCCGAACTGGGCATGATCGCCTGCCAGTAGGATTGGCCCGACTGGATCCTGAGCATCCCGTGGCTTGGCGCTGCAACATCCCCCCGTTTCGGAGGGGCCCACTTCCAAGCACCATAATCTTGGCCTCATCACGCAAATGCGTGGGGCTACTGCGACTGCCTTCTAGGCTATGCGATTTTGGAAACACCAAAAGTACTGCGTAAGTCTCCTGAGGTCATATGGAAGATGTAAAAAGTGCAGAGAGTGCTTGCTGTTGCGATGCAGATGGCATGAAGATGACATGTCATCCATGCATTCTTCAATAAGCAGTGCGCGAATTGGTGAGCACGGCAACTCGAAGATTTGTAACGCCGTTACCTGTCGGCGCACTTATCAACCTGTTCACAGTGGTAAAAACTCATCCCCAGGCTCCCTCGAACATCCTAGTCGCTTCCGTCGCAAGCCCTGTTCACCTCCCTCGGTGTTGCAGGCCATCTAAGGAATGCCACTAGGGCTTGGGACTTGCTTTTGGTTGGTCCGCAGATTACATGGGACATGGTATCTTCCCCCCTACATGATACACGGCTGGAAGAAAAAAAAAGGTCAGTAGACGCAGAGAGGCTCAGGAAATGTCCAGTGCAGTTTTGGATGGAGGGATGGAATAGTCGTTTGTTCAAGGCGCAGATCGAGCCGCAAACTGCTATAGTCGAGGGGTGTTTCAGGGAATGATCCCTCTTCATGGTCGCTTCTTAGTATTGGGCTTAGCACCTGGTCATTTGATGCCGTCTATGTAGATGGTGGCTGCCCGTTTAGCCAGCTTTCACAAAAACCAACGTTCTTTACTTCATACTATGTCCTTGCTTTTCCTTTTTGTCTGAGCACTTATTGGTTATTACAGCGACGACCCGTCTGCCATCCGCTGAGTGGGTTCTTTATATCCTACACCCTATTTCATCTAGGCTTCACTGCGATAGCCACGATGAATCATAATTACTCCAAGGATTTAATGATTGGTCTGGCGATCGCTTTCGCCATTCTACCAACCTTTTTTGTCAGCTTGCGCATATGGGCGAAGCGGATATCTAAACGCATTGGATGGGACGACTTCCTCACATTAGGTGCTCTGGTAAGTACATGAGCGGAGAGTACATGCATGCAAAGACAGCCAGCTAACTAAGTTCAGGCGGTCTGTTTAACGTGCTGTTTTCTACAGCTAGCCAGTGAGTAGGTTCGATCAACATCGCAGATAATCATTAACTTTGCGAAAAGCGGCGATACATGGCTACTTAGGTGCCCATCAGCCTCTTGACGAAAATGGCCAACCAATTATGGACGACCCTGGATTAATATTCTTTGAGGAAGTAAGTTGGATCGATGATTGCGTAACTCTTTGTGCTGACATGTCCCCAGACAAAGTTTGCTATCAACATGATCTCCATTGTTGGACTCGGACTCGTCAAGTCGTCAATCCTAATCCTTTACAAGACCATCTTCGACGTGCGAAAATTCCGTATTTGCGTATACATCGTGCTTGCGTATGTGGTAGCCTGGACCATCAGCTTCACATTCTCACATCTGTTTACGTGCTACCCTATCACCGTCTTTATCGAGCCTTACTACGGGAACAGCTGTGTCGAGACCGTACCAATGTTTTTGGCACTACTTGTGAGTCACTCATTACACGATTTACTTGGCTCTTCTAAGCGGGGGACTGGTTCATGTCTGGTTGGAATTGCGACTTCAGAACCTATGCTGACCGGTCCCGCAGTACACTGACGTTTTGGCGGACCTTGCCATCCTTTTCCTTCCCATACCCATGGTCATGAGCGTGCGCATGCAAATGAAGAGAAAGATAGCAGTCATTGTAATGCTCTCATTGGGCGCGGCGTAAGTCATTCAATCTTCAAGGATGAAGAGCCACGGCATAACTGACAAAACAGTGTCTGCGCTGTAAGCATCACCCGAGTTGTAGCGACGTACTCGATAGCAAAAGAGTACATCAAACACCCCGACGATGTCGTTTATTACACAGCCCCCGTATTCTTCTGGACCAACATCGAGTTATCCCTAGGCCTCGTGTGCGCATGCTTGCCAACTCTACGCCCCATTTGGTTCTTCTTCTACCCGAAAGAAGAGACACGGACTGGCTACGGCTACGGCTATGGGTCTTCAGGGCGTGGATATGGATCATCGGGCTTGCATGGCACGAAAAACAGCTCGTTTAGTGCCAAGTTGGCACGTAAGCCCTACCAGTCAATTGATGAGATGGGTACGTAATGCAACTAGATAACATACTATTCAAGTAACGCACACACTAATGCCACGCAGAGCTAACGACGCGATCTGAGGAGATTCTTCCTCCACCGGTGGAACATGATTCTTCAAGCAGTACCGACAAACACGGGATCAGGAAGGAGGTCACTATTCATCAAACCCTTGAATGATAAGCCCGAAGCCAGGTATATTGTGCTGCTACAATAGTCTTAGGTACCCGGGCAGTGGCATTTAGCGCATTGGCTTTTGTAATAGTATGTTGCTGTATCCATTCCATACGCCCCGGATTAATCCTCAAACGGGTAGTCTGCTGCCAGAATGTGGCAGGCACCCTAACCGGTGATTGGCGGGTGGCGTTCCCAGCCGGATGGTTCACTCGGCCTTTTTTTTTAACCACGCCACTGCCAGCCCCCTTCACCCCCAACGCCAAGTCATGAATGATACGTCGTCTTTCCCTTTTTCCGACAGAACGTTTCAGGGAATACCCTGTGTCAATGTAACCTCAGTTACGTACCATTATCAAGATATCTCATCCAGATTACACAAATCACGGACAACGCAGCTCCGCCCCACAGTGCCGCTCACATTATACTGGAACTACTGCTACAACGAGGATTCTGTTCATGCCAGCCCTGTTCAATTCTAGCCGTGGGGTTCTCGAGCGGCACATGGGCCAGGGCTGACTCGGCAATTGAGGTGGGGGAGCGTATCGGGAGCGGCTTGCTCCAGAGGGCGAGGTCCCTAATGCGGCTACACCCGCGGGCGTCGGGCTAATAAGTTAGCCATCGAGCATACATATTAATAAATTAACCCATGTCTTGCATAACGGCCATGATTCCCAGATCTAGGCCAGCGTAGTTCGACATGCACCTGTTCGCTAGTGACAATGAGATTTTGTCGACTCAGTCGTCAATGCAAAGCGGCAACGTCCATTGCGCAGTTCTAGTAGCTCGCGGCTCAAAGAAGATTGCATTTCGGCATGCACGCTTACCGAGTAGTAGGCCTAATGTGAATTAAAAAGCCGTTGAGCCGCCTACCATGGATTCGGCACCGACTACCTTGTTCCTGTCGCCATGAAGGTCTTATCACTCTTGGTTTCCTTCGCTGCCGCGGTATCTGCGCTCGCCCTCAAGCAACGCGATGTCGCATCCGACTTGAAGAATCTGGTCCCAGGATCTTCGGTCAACGTCGAGGTGAAGGCACGATGGAGTGACTTCAACGCACCCTTGCCTTCTGTCACTGTCACTGTGCAGGCTGAAGACGATATCGCGAAAATCGTAAGTTCTACCCGCCAATGGGCCTTTGCAATGGCTAACATGCACCCGAGGTTAAATACTGCACAAAGGCTGGGATATCATTTCTGACACAGAACGGGGGAGTCGGATGGGGCAAGACCTTCAAGTTGGGCGAATGGGGTGTTCTTATTGACCTTGCTGGTCTGAACAGTGTCACCGTGGCTGCGGACAAGAACACTGCGACTATTGGTGGTGGCGCAAGCATCGGAGATGTCATTGCATCGGCTGATGCTGCAGGTGCCCTGGTCATTACTGGCAATTGCAACTGCGTTGGCGCTCTTGGAGCCATGCTTGGTGGTGGTTACGGTGCGTTTGATTTGATCAGGCACATGAAAAGATTTGAGCTGATTGGCATCTAGGCAACCTGATGGGTGAAGTTGGTTTCGGAGTCGACAACATCATTTCGATGCGCGTCGTCACTGCAGCAGGCGAGTTGCTCACTGCATCAGCCACATCGAATTCCGAACTTTTCTGGGCGCTTCGCGGAGCAGGACCAAACTTCGGTATCGTCGTTTCCGCAACCGTCAACGCGAGGCCAGCAACAGCTGAAGACCGCACTGCCTTCATCAACAATCTCTTCTTCTCACCCGACAAGCTAGAGCAAGTCGCGCAAGCAGTCGAAGATCTGCCGCTCACCCCAGAACAACGCGTCTACCTTGTCTTGACATCTAGCGGCCCACCACTCAACGAGCCTTCTATCCTTGTAACCGGTTTCCTCCGCAAGGGCACGCTTGAAAGCGGCCGCAAGGCCTTCGCCCCCTTCTACGATCTCGGCCCCCTATCTGACTCCAGCATTGTCACCACATACGATCACTGGAACGACGCAAACATTGGCTTCTGCACCCGCGGCGGCCGTAAACCCACATTCAGCTCCACAATCAAGGGCATGAATGCCCAGAAGTGGCCGCAGATCTGGGACTTGTACAAGAGCTTCCAGGCCAAGGGACCGAACTCCGCTATGCTTATCGAGCGCTACAATCTAACCAAGGCTCAATCGGCGCCCGTTGGCTCGGTCGCCTTGAACGAGGCACTCCGCCGCGATGCATTTGCCCAGGCTCTTGTTATCCCGTGGTATGACGATGCGAGTTTGGATGCTGAAGCATTGGATTTTGGAAGCAAGGTTAGAGCGCTGTGGTCGAGGAGCAGTGACCCCAAGAACGATCCTACGTAAGTTTAACTTGTCGTTTTCCATGATTAAGAGAGAATGGTTGGCTAACAGGATTTGTAGATATCCTAATTTCGCATTTGGTGACGAGACTAACAAGGCTATCTATGGATCTAGCCTTCCGAAGTTGCAGACGCTGAAGAAGAAGTATGATCCTAAGGGACAGTTTAACCAGTGGTTTCCGATACAAGTATAGACACCAGACATTGGGTCATCTTTATCAAAACTACTTAATTAATAAAAGGTTGAATCATATCAATTCTGCAAATGTTCGGAAGGGTTGCTTTTTGCTAGGCTTTGTGTTCCCGGGATAGATAGATTGCACCCGTGACGTCATATTTATTGCAACGTAATCATTCCTTGGCTTGGAATTGTCTGGCTAAATGTTTATCTCAGTTATCCCCGTTGTCCTTGCGCTTCTCTGGTAGAGTTGATAGATAGCAAGTCGATTGAGAGCGATATGTGTAGTATGGTGAACATCGGTAGACTCGTTCCCACGAGCCGTCTGCCACGTAGTACTTCTCGCCGTGCACATGATTGATAATACCCGCTCCGTTCCCAGCCTTGAGCCTTGACTTTTGGTCGAGGCATAAATGTTCATATGTCCAAACAACTTGTAATGCTGTATAGAGATCTCTGTCCTAAATCCTAGAGGTATTTCTTGCGCCTACTACTCTCCATTTCCCCATGGATGAATCCCTGATATCATATAAAAAAACTCGCTTTCCTCCAAAATCCACTTAGACGTTCAATCCTCATCCTCCACCAACCTCCGCACCTCAAACACCTGCTCCCCAAACGCATTCCTAAACGCCGGAATCCTCTTCCTCGTCATCCAAACCGTCAGAATCGGTACCTTCCTCATCTTCACCTCATCTTTGTCTCTCTGCCCTCCTCGCCCATCCACATCCATAGATTCAAACGCCTCCTCTTCCTCTTCACTCTCCACCTCTTCCACCTCTTCCTTCTTCACCTCCACTGCCCTCGCTTTCCGCTCGATATCGATGCTTGTAAGCATCGTATACATAGCCCATGTCTCCACCAATCCATCCCCAACCTCCTCTTTACTACTCGGCGCGACGATCCTGCGAACCATGTCTACGATACCAACGAGTTTTGTCGTGCCCTCGCCTTGCGCTGAGACTGCTATGATAACGTCTTCTTGCTTTAAAGCGTCGGGCATGTCGATTGTAGATGCGGGATCACGGTATGCACCCAGGAATGTTTTGAGACGATTGATACCAGACTTTACATTTTGATTCTTGGAGAAGACGACGGGGACAATGTTTTGTGTGGCTTGCAGTCGCGTCTGGGATTCGAGGAGCTTGAGTAGGTCCGGTGGGAGGCGGGTCCAGGGTTCGTAGAGAGATGGGTGGATGGTATGTGGGGAGACTTGTTGGGATTGTTTCTTTAGAGCGGTGCCTGGAGTGCCATTTTGGGCTTTTCGCTTTTTCGTGGGGTTGGAATCGTTTTCTGGGGCACCGATGATGGGGAGTGTAGGGCCTTCGCTTGAGTAAGGTGGTGTGGCCGTGATTGTGGTTGTGTCGTTGTCTTTTTGTGATGAGGACGCAAAGATCTCGCTCATGCGCTTTGGTTTAGCCATATCTGCTACTTGTCGAGTTTTTGGGAAATCCGGGTCTATCTGATATTTACTTCCGAGGGTTCTGGGGACTCCACAGCAAACGGCGCAGTAACGAAATTTGGGGAAGCTCGACGCGCCAAAATCTCAAAGACGCGCCGGAGATAATACGCCGCATGCCCTTATCGCCGAATGGCGGCACATGCATATATCATGTCGTCTTGCTCCCCAGACTAACATTACATACTTTGTTATCTCTCAAGTCCCTTATGAAACAAAATGAATTCGGTGACTCGGGATTGCCCCTGCACACCATGAATGACGTAGCATTCAAGTCCTGCATCTCAGAAGGCCTCGCCACACAGACTCCCACCCAAGACCACTCTCCGTATGTGTGACTTCAAAAAGATCAACAAACTCAAACCCGTAAAATCACCCTCAACTAATACCACCTCCACACAACAGAAACTCCATATCAACATCAGCCCTCCTAAGTCTCCCAGCCGAACTCCGCCTACTAATCTACGAACACACCTTCACCCACCAAGCCATCCACGTGCACCCAAAATCCTACTCCTCCCTCGGACTCAACTCCCCCCTGCACCCACATGGCGCCCGAAAATACCAACCAGCAATTTCCCTCCTCCTAGCCTGCAAAACAACCCGCAAAGAAGCAACTCCAACCTTCAACGCACTCGTTACCTTCGACCTAACACCCTATTATAACTGCATGGCTGCAGCATATGAACTCGGACCCGACATATGTCGGGGTATTAAGAGTATACGCGTAGATCCGAGGTTGGCGAAGAGGTTGGCGGTAGGGATGCAGCAGGGTGGTGTGAAGGAGACGGGTTATCGGGATTTGCTGCCGGCGTTGCGGCATGTGCATGTGAGTGATAGTAGTGTGGTGTTTGGGGTGTTGGCGGTGAGTCATGATTTGGCTATTAGGGCTTTAAGGGTGTATTTTGGGTGGGAGGGGTTGGAGGTACATTTTGTGGGGTGATATGGACATGAAGGGAGGTGGGGTTTAGGGCTCTTTTGGTGTTGGTGACTGATCGTCTAGCTGGATACTCTACGTCGAATTGTAGTCTTTTCTACAAGAGGTTTTCTTTTGGCAGCCGGTGGTATATATGAAGATACAACATGAGCCTGCTATCCGAGTCACTTTAGAAGGAAACCTCAAGCAACAAAGAATATCAAATCTTGCGATAAATAGCAGCATCAATCCCCACCGCCGTACTCATAACTTTCTTCGTCCATTCGCTCACGGGCTCAAGCGCTTTAACCGTATCCCCCAACTCGTTACTCTCATCAAACTCATGAACAGCCAAGAACGACAACTCCTTCTCTTTCTCATCGCCGCCCTTCTCCGCAATCAACGAATACCGACACGTACGCAACCAACCGGATTCTCTCGACATTTGCTCATTGTGCTCATCGTGGTACCAAGCATCCAGGTCCGCAGCACCATCTGGCGCCGGCTGCATAAGCGCTACAAGGAGCGTATGTGCAGGATTGTCTTGATAATGAGAGGATGAAAGTCAGTAATAGTCCAGTCAAATTCATCTCGCTTTCTTTCTGCCTTCTTCTTCTTCTTCTTCTTCTTCTTCTTCTTCACCCAAACCCATCAAAACCAGGAACAACGAAAAGAATGATTGAAAAGAAAGAAAAAGACGACCTACCCCTTCCCTCTTGCTTCCCCCTCTCCTTCTCATAAACTTGCACCTCGCTAAACCCCCTAACATCCGCCTCCTCTTGCACCACCCTCTCGCCCGCCCAAAACTTAGCCACCTGTTCCACATTCACGTGCGCGACATCGTCCATTACGCTGACGAGAAGATGTTGTTTGGGGTATGAGGCATTGGCTGCTTTATAGAGGGTTGAGCGGGTTGTGCCGAGGATGTGGGATGTGAAGAGTTGGGGAAGGAGGAGGAATTCTGTATTATCTTTGCTGTCGGGGGAGGAAGAGGAAGATGTAGGTTGGATGAAGGATAGGATAAGGCCTGTGGTGGTGGGGGAAGAAGCCATTGTTGAATATGGAGAAGGATAATGGTGATTATGAAGAGTGTGGACCAGATTTGAATGCTGATACTTTTTATGCGTGAAAGGGGTAGCAAAGGAGAAATAAGTAGGGTGGTTATGTTATTTGAGTATCATGTGTTGCTGTTAGTATGTAGAGCAAAGCAGGACGCCTTGTCCCCACTTTAACCGGATTAGTTTTTCCGGGAAAAGGAATAACTGAGGCCATCAGCATGTATTACCAAACATGTTTAATGAGATGGAAGCAAGAAATACAAGAGATGGAAAGTAGTAATCTTATTAAGAAGCTTCTCTATGAGTATCTTGTCTAATTGTTTACAAATACATCTAACATCAAGACAGACTCATGACATAACGTCATCTACAACTTGCTCTTTTCAATGCGTTTGAATAAAACATCGCTGTCGGGGTATGGGTCGACAGTAATGTCATTGAGGGGGTTGAGCTCGCTGGCCCTGTAGAACATATCCTCGTACACCTTTCCATCTGCGCGGCCCAGACTGCTGTCTAGAACCCAGTCGTCGAAACCCCATGCGTCGACAAGTCTGACGGCATGTGGGCGGATGTCCTTGAGCAAGTTCATAACTGTGTTTGTCCTTGCAAGCATGATCTGGATCTTGCTGCAGGCACCCGAGGCGTAGAACTCGGAGCCTTCCTGCTCAAGTGTGTGCAGAGCGAAAAGGCGGAACAACTTCATGAGGACTTCAAGAAGGTTCTTGTCAATCTTGCCCTCCTGCTCAATCTTCTTGAGCGCGGAGAGGTTAGTCTTGACGACCATGTATTGAGCGTGAGCCTTGCTCAGGCGGTAGAAGTCAACGAGAAGGTCGTTCCAAGGCTTCTTCTGCTCATCACGGTGCTTGCTGGCCTCGAAGGCAAGGAAAGAGACGCGCCAAGCGAAGGCAGCGACGAGATCCTCGTCTGAGCCAATGATGTCGAAGGCGCAGCCAATGTTGCGACGAGAGTGGAACTCCGAGAGAATCTGAGTGGTGTCGTTTGTGGGCTTCTCCTTGTTGAGGACGGAGCGGACGGACTTGAGCATCTATAAAGAATATCAGTATGATGCGGGCTTTATAAAAAGGGATGAAACTTACGTAGCGAGCTACTTGCTGTGTCAACATGTAGTTGTCACCCTCCCAGGTAGTGGTAGGGAGGTAGTCAGAGTACCAAGGTCCGATACCACTGAAGCTAGAGTAGCCGTGACCACCGCAGGCACGTCGGCAGACCTCGAGACCGTCACAAGCGATGGAACTGCTGAGTGACTTGAGCGCACAAGATGAAGCGTGCAGATCCGCCAGCATATCACTGCCAGACTGAACTTCCTCGGGTCCGGCGCCGCGCTTGCTTGGTGCGTTGCTTGCATTGCCCTGTGCAATCTTCTTTTGGTTCTCTTGGTACATGTCCATCATCGCCTTTCCTGTGAAGTGAAGAGCGAAAGTTGCTGCAAGGAGCGGCAGCAGACGGATCTGGACCATGGTGTAGTTGAGAACGGGAGTCTCAGCCTCGCCAGCAGGAGCATCGCGATCCTGGAACTGACGACGTACGGCACAGTAACGAGTCGCAATAGTCACACCACGAGCGAGTACGCTACCGGCTTGCATGACGATCGTCGATCGAACCCAAGTTAGGGTACCGTAGACGAGAGATGGCGAGCCACGGCGACCAAACTTGTTGGTGGTGGGATCCACGTGCGTGTAGCGAGCCAACATGCTAATGTGTGGAACTTTGACCTTGTTAAACAGAAGGAAACCGTTGTCCATAGTATTGTAGCCAAACTTAGGGCCAATGTCTCCAATGTGGATGTTCTCGAGCGGCTCATGTGTCTTCAGGTCTCGGATCTGGACACAGAATGGGGTAGGTCCGTAGGACTTTCCATCAATGATGAGTTGAGCCATGACGACGGCATGATTGGCTGTCCTTCCCAATGATCCAATCCACCACTTGCTGGCTGTCAGGTGTGGCGAGTGGATGGTGAAGGTCTTGTCGTCCTTGTTCCAGGTGGCTGTTGTTTCAAGCCCACGGACGTTGGAACCGTGGCCAAGCTCAGTCTGAGCATAGCAACCGATGATCTTGTAGTCGTTGGCCTTTGTGAGCCACTTTTCCTGCTGTTCGGGGGTGCCTTGGCCTTCCAATGTCACCTGTATACTGTTAATGTATGCTTAACTCAATTGGCGAAGGAGACATGCCTTGAACATGGAGTCGTGGAGACCATATGGGCCAGGCTCGCCAACGAGCTCCATAGCCATTCGGAATTCTTCGAGATTCCAGTTGTGCTGCTTCTTCAAGATCCTCAACCTCTTCTCTCTTGCAAGAGCACGCTCGAACTTGTCTATCCTGCCCATGAAGTAGTTCTGTGACTTGTCAAAGACCTTCTCGGACTTGAGAATGTTGAGGATCTTGTGCCTCATGTCGATGACTTGTTGAGTGTGAAGAAGAACCTCCAGGTCCTGCACCGGCACGTTTGAGCCGGCGCGTTCTGCAGCGAGCAATTCATGCCCTTGGGCGCCCGAAGGCTTGAGCTGCTTGACCCAGTCTGGAGTTTGCTTCATTGCGATGGGTGATTGATGATTGAGTTCGTGGGGAAGGAAAGTTGTCTGGGGGAGTGAATAAGTATAGGTTACGAGGTGAGCCTCGGCTGCCGATCGGTGCCAGAAGGTCCATGACGCGCTAGCCAAAGTTCCGAGGTTTATCTTCCGCACGAGGCGCGCGTCAGGCCCGATTGCGATCAGATGAAAGTCCGAGAGGTGAACATGACTGGATCCAGAGCCATAGAATGACTTGTGTCTGCGCTCGTGATAATGCAGATGTTGTAGGTGCCGCTAAGCCCAGAGGCCCAGCCTTGCGTCAGATGAAGACCCTACTCGACCAATGGGCATCTGGGACAGATTTGGCCCAGGCGATTGGTAGAAGCGAGCTCTTGGAATATCGACCCGACAATGCAGAGTCGGTACGGACTCTCCCGAGGCCGGTTGTATATGTATGCAATCATGTATGGACAGAGTTCGAGGTCGCGGTCACATGTGTACATGCAAAGTAAGTACACAGGCATACCTGCCTGGACAAAGATGGCACTCATCAGCAAAGGTACAACAACGTTAGGGCTAGCGCATGTTCCCTCGACCTCTGTCATGGCAACCTGGTGAGACGTTCATGGGTCCGACGATGCTGGTCGAGACAGCCGCAGCCCTGCGGCAAGCGAGCACCGCCTTGCCAGAAGGGTGTCCAAAGTGAGTGTAGCAGTGTGCGCGTGTCTCAAGCCTACCCGACGGACTAAGCAACGGACCCCGACGCGGCATGTGGACCCTCTGGCAGTTCCGGACGGGCGGTTGACTGTGACAAGCAAAAAGAGTTTCCTTTTTCGACGGAGCAAACCGATAAGGGTGGCCAGGCAGAGCGGCAGTACTGCCATCTATGTGTGTGGCACGCGAGCTCCTGTAAGCGGGCGAGGCAAAAGCAAGCGTTTCTGTGCCGGCTGCCTGACAAGCCATTGCGCTGCACAGCCTCAAGGCGGCACAGAAGACGGCGGACCAGGCCTAGGCCAGCGCGTATTCGCAGGCTGAAGCACGAGGGATCAAATCAGTCGTGCACAACAAGAGAGCTGGTGGGGAACAACGGCACAGAGAATGCGCTCCCCTTCGTCATCGCGTTTGGCCTCGAACAAACAGCCACAGCCCCTAGCGTGCACGGCCTTGCTGGCGGCTGTCAGGTAGCGCAGCGTCACTTTCTTTGCCTACAACACCACGCCGACCTGTTGAATTTCCCTTACCCCCCTTTGTGAGCTAGAGCACGCAATTCTTCTTCCTTGTCCCTCTACCCCGGACTCCATTTCTGTTCCACCGCACGGCACTAGACTTCCTCCTGCCTGGCCTTAACGCCTACACATCTCCCGAATTATACCCCCACACACCACCCTCGACACTGCCTGCAATTCTATGCTCACAGCCACGACCCCGGCGACCCTCAGATTCCTTTCCCTCTTTTCCCACCAGTCCTCCTAGATACCGGACAACATGGGTCAGACACTCTCCGAGCCCGTCGTCGACAAGGTAATTGCCTCCCAATGCTGCCGCCCACCCCCGCCCCCGCACTGTGTCCTTCTTTCCACCCCCCCCCCCTTTGAAACGCGGTGACAGTCGCTTTGCATCGCCCGGCCATGGCGCGCATGCTGTGTTGCATGGTCTGAAATGCTGACATTGCATCTTTCTAGAAATCTGAAAATGGCGAGGGCGAGTCACTCATCTACGGTGTATCCTCGATGCAGGGCTGGCGCATCAGCATGGAGGACGCACATGCCACCGTACTAGACTTCAATGCCGACGACACCAAGGGCACGCCCACCGACAAGCGACTGGCCTTCTTCGGTGTGTACGACGGACACGGTGGCGACAAGGTGGCGTTGTATGCTGGCGAGCAGCTGCACAAGATTGTCGCGAAGCAAGAAGCATTCAAACAGGGAGACATCAAAAAGGCTCTGCAAGATGGCTTCCTGGCAACAGATCGCGAGATTCTGTGTGGTAAGTCGATTATCAACATCATCCCCATCCATCACGGGCCACCTGACACCTGCCAACAGACCCCAAGTACGAAGAAGAAGTGTCTGGTTGCACGGCATCAGTCGGCGTCCTGACAAAAGACAAAATCTACGTCGTATGTCAAACCCGCATCCTACTACGTTGCGACGCTCACACAGACAGGCCAACGCCGGTGACTCTCGCACTGTTCTAGGAGTCAAGGGCAGGGCAAAGCCCCTTTCATTCGACCACAAGCCGCAGAACGAGGGTAAGCAAATACGCCAAAAGTGTACAACCACCGCTGACATCTTCCAGCCGAGAAAGCACGTATTCAAGCTGCAGGTGGCTTTGTCGACTTTGGCCGCGTCAACGGTAACCTTGCTTTGTCGCGCGCAATAGGCGATTTCGAATTCAAGAAGAGCGCCGATCTTCCCCCAGAACAGCAAATAGTCACCGCCTATCCCGACGTCGAGATACACGATATCAACCAGGACGATGAGTTCTTGATTGTGGCTTGTGATGGTGAGAGGACTAGTCTCCGTGACCACAAACTTTTACTGACTGGATTTCAGGTATCTGGGACTGCCAGTCTTCTCAAGCCGTTGTCGA